GTCAGGGTAGTACTTATCATTCATCATCTCTTTGAACTGGGGCCAAGTGAGATTCTCTTTCTCACCAGGACGCATGCCCCAGTAAGAATTCCACCAGAGACGAGCATCTCCAGTCATTTGCAACTGAGCACAGAGAATGCGATGTTTCTCCGAGCACTCAGTAATCTCAAAGATTGTCTCCAGACCTTGGATCCATTCTTCCACCAGACGAGAATCTCCTTGTCCAGAAAACTTCTCAGCATTGTAGCCACGAAACTGGGCAACTACTTCTGCTGATGTCATCTCTCTTTGACATTGATTCACTCTTCGTGCCATCTGGATTATTAATCCCATAATAAATTTTAGCACAATTAAAAATTAAACAATAATTTCAAGATAAGCCATTATTTCTATAGGAGTTACTTATTAACTCGATAACTCTGAATTTCTCAAATCTAATAGGGAGTAATATGATATTTCTTAAAATCTTTGATTGAGTATCTTTTCTGATTTCTAAAATTTGGATATCCGAATCCTATTAAGCATAGACTTAGTAATTTGCTTATATAAAAACTTTCATAAAAACTTTTAACAACACTTACCTGGTAGTCGGCGAGGTGTGAGTGTGGTGTGGTCGGTTTTCCTGAAACTGTTTTCTGAAACTTAAACGTTTAGTATACAGAGCACTTGCTCTAGTTCTGATACCACCTGTAACACCCCGCTCGTCAGAGTAAATTTTTCGCAACTTTTTCGCAACTTAAACTTTTAGTATACAGAGCACTTGCTCTATGCTCGTATACTTAATAAGATGCTCGGTTTCTCAACTGTTTCGGATAACTCATCCAAATCTTATAAAATTTCAATATTCATGCTATTGCTCAAGCTTAACATTTCTTGATCTTTTACTCAATCAAATACTTAACCCATCATATATCATATCTCCCAAATCTTATATATTGACTTATACTCATTTTTCACTTAATTAACTTGAAAGTGAAAATAACTCAAATCATACTCAACTTTTAATCATGATATTAATATGTGAGATTTAAAACAATCTTTATAAGATTGTATACTCAACATATTTAACTAAAACTTTGTCAAATTGTTCATCATTTATATGAGAATTGTTCATAATAATCTCATTTAAACAACTTGAACATATCATGAATATTCTTGCATATAAACTCATCTTTACATATATGCCATCTAATTATCTCAACTTATTCATTTCTAATCTTTAAATCATGAAATTTAACAGTCATAATCTCAACTCATAATTAGACATGTCATAAAAATTTCATAATTTTAGCATGCATATACATCAAGTTATTAGAATTTGAAGTTACAACTAAAACATTGAACATAAAATTCAGCATACATGTTCATCTTCAAATCTCTATAACTTAAGTTATACTATGCCAAATAACTTAATTCTTGTTCTCATGTACTCCTCTTTTACACAAGAATTACTCATTTAAATCGTACTTTTCCAGATTATTCATATCTTCACCAACATCTCATCAAATCAAGTACATATATCATATAATTGATCTTGAATAACTTTAACTCTTTGTATTCATATAATCAATTATAAATTAAACTTCTCAATCATCATATACATACTTATAAACATCTAAACTCATTATCAAATTATAAACTTAAGCATAAAACTTTAAGATAAGTAAATTACCTCCTTCTTGCTAGAATCGTAACTTGATTCTTCACTTCTAAATTCTTCACTTCTTCACAATTTCTATTACTTATCTCTCTTACACTCTTATATATCTTTTGGTACTTTTCTTTGGTGTGAGAACTCTGATTTTTAGGCCTCTATTTATAGGCACAAATTGGCAAGACATCATAATGGAGTAAAGAAATGAACAAAATAAACAATTTAAACTTATAAACTTAATTAATCATAAACTATTTTATGATTAACTTGTATTCTTATCCAAACATAATTAATCATCAAAAATGGTCTCTATCTATAGCCATAAATGAGCTTTTTGGTAGATAAAACGTATTCCACCAAGTTTAATAAAATTCTCACCAATTGAAAAAAAAATGCTAACTTAAAGACTTAGCAAAACTTTGTTGTGATTTTCTCATCTCATTCTCACCAATTGATGACCAAAATTTAGTGCTTAATGTGATGTAATTGATTCCATATATTATTGAAAAATGTCAATATTCATCATATAAAAATCTTTGGAACTAAATAATAAAAATAATAAAAATCATCTTTTTTTATTACTTATGCATTTTTTTTCAAAATGGCTAATTTTTAAAACTCTTTTACTGAAAAGTAATGCTCATATATGGTCTTGGATCATGCTAATAAACCGAGCATAATACAATTTACGGAACTTAATTCGGACTTAAAACGAACATTTACCGTAAAACTGAAAATTCTAAAATTTAAATTCTTTACTCACAGTTTTTCTTCAATTTAATGAACATATTGCTTCTTAGGATCTAATATAATTATCTTGAAATATTCTACATTTACAGAACCACATTCGGACTTAAACCGAACGATTACCGTAAAACCGAAAATTCTAAAAATTTCGGTTTCTCTTAAAATAATTTAAATAGACTATAATGTCTAAATAAATTTTCTCACTTCTTTGAACATTTTTCACTTAAATGTTCATGGATACTTAACCGCACTTCGAGACTTAACTTGTATCAACTTATGCTAAGACTTAATATTATGATCTTATCTTCATGACTTAAACACTTAGAAAAATTCTTAAGTATTTAGTACTAAGGCTCGGCTATTTCTTAATTAAGTTCAACTCATGACCGAACATACTTGGGTTCAGTTCACTACTTATCTTAAATGATTAATCAAAATATACTCAATTTCGATTATATGTCATCTTATATTAATTAATCCCGTCTTATAATTTCATTTATAAAAATAAACAGACCGGAATTAATTAATTACTGAACTGGCTCGATTACTGAATAATATTGAACCGAGAATACTTTCGACTTTAAGTCGAATTTTTAACTGAATAACTTAATAACTGGCTCGGAACTAAAAACGAGCAAGTAATTAGTTCATACTTAGAATAATTACTTTTATTAATTACTGAATGGGATATTACACGAGTGCTGTTGGAGGCGGCTGGGACTCGTCTGGGGGCGACTGGGCTCGCGGGAGCTGAAGCGTTGACGCCTGGGGACGCTGGATGCACGTCTAAGTGCGGGGCGGCACACTGCTGGGCGCAGGAGCGCATACTAGAACGGCTGAACGCAAATGCAGATGCTTCTGAGGGTGTGGGTGTCACGCCCCGTTATTTATAAATAAAAAATATTGGTTTTAAGAAAATTTCTAACTTAAAAAGAAATATTCATTTTCCAGTTTAAACTAAACGAATATTACTTAAAAAATATTCTTTCTGTCAAGACAAAAATAAACATTTTCAAAATAAAGTGTTACGATTAATCAAACCGTAATTTATTCATCCAAATTGAATTTTAAGTTACATCAGAGTTTGCAAAAATATAAAATCATAACTAAAGTAGACCACGCCCGTCCTCTCGTGTCCGCCGTCAGCTCGATTAACCTGAAAAACAAAGGGGTGAGCACAATCTCTCGGCTCAGTGGTAAAATTCATACCATGCATCGATTCAGTATAAACACAGATAGTATAATAATCATATGAACATGCAAAGCATACTTTCTCACTGCTGCTGACTGATTTCATCCGGCTTCAAGCCTCCAGATAAATTCGGACTAGTGACTCTTATTTCAAGCCTCCATAATTTACCCGGCTAATTAGCTATTATACGCAGTTAACCTAAGTTCATGAACGTCGGTATGCTTACTTACTAGTGCATTCGACATCAACCGATCCCGCTAATAAATAACTCTACTAGTGCCATTGGCATTACCCAGTCCCGCTAGTAGAAAACTTAACTGATAATTACCCGGCCTAGTGATTCTTATTTCAAGCCGCCATGGTAAAGTTCACATCACACAATCGGCCACCGGCCCATACACATGCATATAAAAACTATACTACCACACGTTTATACAGAATACACCATAGTATAGAATATCCCCACATGACGTGAGGAAAAAGTGCATATGAAGAGTAGTTGATGCCACTCGGAACAACTCTTGAGATTTGACTCCTCGAAATCTACGATTTAAATAAATTTTCTTATTATTAAAGGTGCGACAAACAGGCAAACAAAACATGCAAGTAAAGGCAAGGATAAATAAGGTCAAGCAAGGACAATTAAATTCAAACAACACAATAAATCATCCAACAATGTCACAAAATAAATAAATAAATAAATAAATAAAAATAAAAATCACACATACATGCTTCTCCTCCTCTAAACATACAACATACTTGGGAACTGAATCTTGACTGAATATTCTCATCTCAAAATTAATGTGTTTCAGCCTAATAACAAAAAAATCAGAGGCTTATGGACCAAAACCAAAATAATGCCAAAAACACTAAACATAAGGCTCTTCTTTCAGAATAAAACTAAGGCATATAAATGACACTCTTAGCCCAACACTTAGGCCTCATGATGGACATTTAATACTCAGAAAAAGCATCAAAACCACAGCGAATAAATCACACAAAATAGGTTCAGAGAGCAACACAAACAAGGCACCAAATAAAATGCAAATTAAGGTACAAAACATCATATTAACTTGCTCTTCTCTTCTAAATCTTAAAGCATGAGTGTAACTGATTCTTAGCGGAAATAAGACACTCCAAAACTCATCTTTTACAGCAATAACTCATGATGATCAGAGTCTCCTCAAATTGATCAAAATAAAGCCACAGCTCACATAATGTGCCTTAATCTTCAAAAACTTCTATAGCATGCTACACAAATCAGTTTGGACTGAAACTTCACTTGGATGCTCATAACATATGCAAGAATTAACAGTCAAGATTCAGGCTTAAAAGCAAGATACAAGCTAGGAAAAAAAAACAAGACAAAAAGGCATGACATATCATCTCCTTTTCTCCTCAAAAAAAATGAATCGTACTAAAGAGACCCTTTGCTCTGAAACTAAACCTCAAACTCAGCGTCTCAACAACATAATTCGGCATGAAAAATATCACATTAACTCAGCCCAATCTAAGGTAATAAGGTCTTGGCCAAAGTACCTCTTTCGGCCCAAAATGAAGCAAATCAAAGGGCTCGGTTTTGCTGTAGCTCTTGATCGCTGCTCTCTGCTCTTTGCCGGGACTGACGGCTCGACTTGCCGGCAATAAGGTGACTGTCGGCTGCTCCTCGTCACGCGAAATTGGAGCTGGGGTCGTCCGTGGCTCGGGTCTGCTTAGCTGTGACTAAGGCTAGCACTCAGCCGACGGTAACTGGTGACTCGCCGTCGGAAGTTCGCTGCTCGGCCGAGGCTAATGGGTGGGAAAAATTGGGCGATTTTCTAAGAATTTTCTGAGGGGATTCTCATGGGGTGGCGGCTGAAATCTCCATCACTTCAATAGGGAGTATTAGGGTTGCTAATGGAGGGAGGTGTCGTGAGGGAGAGAGGTGGCTGAAAATTTGGGAAACGGTTGAAATGAGCTGCGACTGATTCCCGTGATTTGGTGCTGCGTTACCGCTAGAAAAAAATGAAGGGGATGTGCTGCGGAAATTGGGTGGTGGGAGAATGTGCCGAAAACTCCTTAAGAAAGACTTTGGGCTTAGCTAAAATTACTGACTTAGGCAATTAATAACTACACTAGCCCACAAAATACACTAAAGGCAAATTATAACACTTAGGCATAAAATAGAATTGAACACGGGCAAGAAAAGGCATAAAACTAAACACAAAAGAACATTAATCAAATATCAATTTGGCACATAATCAAGTAAACATTTAGACAATTTGTCAATTAATCACTTAAGCAAATAGTCCAATAATCACTTAAGAAAAAAAAATGAATTTATCACTTAAGAAAATACTCAATTAATTACTTAAACAAATAGACAATTAATCACTTGAGCAAATAATTAATTAATCACTTGGGCAAATAATCCACAAAAACACACTTAACACTTAAGACAGTTAAATCAAACATGAGAAAATATGAAGAAATACTCAACAAAGTTTAAATAGTCGAGCGATGCAAATGTTATGATTTTCTGAAAAGAAACGGGGCGCTACAGTGGGCATGGCTGCAGGGTGCGGGCACGCGAGCGATGATGCTGGAAGAACTGGCAAGTGGTAGGAGGTTGCAAGCGCACGGGGCTGCGAACTGCTGCCGGGTGGTGCATCCCCGTGCACACAGTATGCGGCTTGCGCGCGACCGCTGCGGGTGATGAATAATCGCGTGTTCCGACTTGTGACCTAGCCTCGGACGTTGCGTGAACTCGATCTTCGGCGAGGGTTGCGGACGACTCGGAGGTTAAACTCCTTATCTTCTCGCGATAGGTGAGACAGCTCGGACGGATGTCCTTGCCAAACTCGTCTTTCTCGAGCTATGTGGTGGACGCCCTTCGCGTAACAAGGGTTTTGCACTAAATCTCAAAAGAAATCTAACACAAGAATTTGAACACAAAGTTCGGTTTTTTCATTAATTCAAGACATGACATTTTCGAGTGACAATGGGGCATATTTATAGATGCCAAACTAAGTCTAATCCTAGTCTAAGAAGAACTCCTAATGCATGGAAATAAAGTCCTAAGGAAACTAAATATCTAATGAATAAAGATTTACCAAAACTACTAAGATACTATTAGGCACATGCCTTTTATTCCAAATCCTAATCATACTAATATTCCTAATCATGCTAATAAAATCGGCCCTTGGCCATCTAGAAGCTTCATGCGTCTTGCGCCGCACGCCTCGCCCAAACCCTAGCCACGACGGCTAGTCCTTGTCCTCCGAGGTCATGGGCTTCATCACGCTCCCACGCGTCCCAAGCGTCTTCTGCCTTGCGCCCCAAGTCGCGTTGCTTATCCTTAGGCGGTGCAATACTCCTAGTCCTTCGAGGACTCATGCTTGCCAGCCCTTGCACGTCGCGCCTCCTGCGCCCGCCAGCTGTCTCTCGCGCGTTGTTGCACCCGCCCGCGTGTCTGTACGCATTATGCGCGGATGCGGTCTTTTCGCAAGCGCCTTCGCCACACGAGTCTTCTCGCGCGCCATTGGTCGTCACACGCGTAGCCCGCACGTTGGTCCCCACTGCTCGTCCTTGGCCGGTCGTGGTGCGTGCTAACCACCCAACATCCTTCGCTCGCGCACCACCCGGTTCCTCCGCCACGTACACGCCATCCGCATGCCCGCGCTTTCGCCTCTTGTGAGCCTCATTTGCATGGCCCCGGCGGTCGTCCCGACCTTTTTCGCGCCACTTCTCGTGACTCGAGCGCGTCTCATCCTCAGGCTCGGATGGGTCGATGACCACATCCTCATCATTCCTCCTCCCTTCGAGTTTATCCTTGTCCTCAAGGATAATGAACTGAAGACTCCTTAACTTGACCGGCTCGGATCCCTCGTCGATTGTGCATAGCTTGATTCGCTTCTTGTCTCGTTCAAACCCCATCGCGCCTTTTTTGAAATTTGTGGTTATGGACCCTAGTGTCTCAAGCCATTGGGCCCCAAGCACCACCTCGGGTGTAGCGCCCCATTTGTTCCGAATTTATTCGAGATATTTAATCATTATATTTTATTCGAATTAATTATTTTGGGCTCGATTAATTAATTTCCACGTGATTATATGCTCGTATTGCATTTATTTTTATTTTATTTTAATTCCAGAAATTAACTTAGTCGAGCTCGATAATTTTTATTTCGATTAAATGCTCTTAATGGTTAATTGTGTTAAATTAAAAATCGACCCGTAGTATGTTAACAATTTTTATCGGATTTTTGGTCGAGTCGAAAATTCGTTAATAACCGGGACTTTGAACCAAACAAGCAACCTAGCCGAACATGCGAACCGGGCCGCCGAACCCATCCGCTTTTTCCTTCCAGCCGGCCCGTACCCGCATGCCCTCGACCCGCTCCTCCCTTCACTCTTGCATGCATGAATTTAAGTTTGAATTTGAATTCAAAATGGAGATCATATCCCTCATTTTCGGCCCATGATCTTCTCTTTGACCATATATTTTGGGATGTTACAAGTCAAGACATTAAATAAGTAATCCCCCCATTCACTCCTTTTCCTTCTTCATGTCCCTCATCTCCATCTCTCACTCTTTCTCGGTTTTTCATATATCTCTCTCTGTCATTTTTGAAATTCAGACCTCAGCCCCCTCTCTTCTGCCATCTCTGGTCATCCTCCTCACACGTGCGAGCCACCTCCAACGTCGAACACAAGCGGACGAGTTCCCTGCCCTTAGGATTTGAACATCAACGAGCCTTTTCGAAACCGAACCTCGTTTATTTCTCCCCTTTGGTGTTTGGTAAATCTCTATTTACTATACCCCAAATCCTTTGAGATTATGTGTTATATTTTCTGGAATTATATTTTAGCATGATTAAATGAGATTAATTGGATTAAGTGTTATTTTAAACTATGATTTTATGTGGAATCATGATTTTCACTGTTCTGTTTTGCTGCGGTTTGAGCCATCTGAAACTGAGTATTTGAATTCATGACCTTCATAAGAATTGTAGTGTTTTCCGTTTACTAATTCTGGCCTTTGAAATTTCCCGATTCTGATTTATATCGAAAAAGTTATGATTTTTTCAATATTTGTTGTGCTTTCAGTTTTTCCTTACCCAGCAGCAAAATTGGATTTAATGTTTGGTCTGTTTTTCATATCAAAATGTGCTCGTATGAACTTACACTCTTCATGAAAGTTATAGATCTGCTTTTACCTTTCAAATGAGATAATGTTTATATTGATATGTGCTCTGTGGCTCGAGTTATGATTTTACGAAGTTAGATATGCATGAGTTAGGAATTATTATGTTGGCAGAGATATGGAACCGAATGTTAACCGATTTTTGACAATTCAAATGAGCTCACATGTTTCTGTGTTCTAAATGAAATTTGTAGATGCATTCCTAAGGTTTAATTTGAGACTTTAACCATATCATTTAGAGGTCTGTAGCTACAGATAAAGGTTAAAACTGAGATACTGCCCATGTTCATTATACTAGTTTTGACAGATTTACTGAATCATGTGTTTTTCGTTTTAACTCATTGAATATGTGATTATTTGCCAATGTCTGCGGCAAAGTTGTACATATTTGAGTTGCCTATCATGTAGTTTTTGAAATTCATTAATAGCATGCTTGTAGCTCATGTTATATGGCAAATACTGAAGTCGGGTCAAGTATATTCTTACCAGTTTTGGACTGTGACTCAAATTTTAATGTTTGTTGATTTATCACCTATTAAATGACCTTATTTGCTTTCAGTGTCTTCATAAGAGTTGTAGTTTCATGTCTTAGAATTCCAATGCAACTTGATTCATGTTCATATGTGTTATATGCTGAGAGTTATGTCGATTTTAAAAACGCTGCCCGGGTCAAGTTTTCTAAACTTATGTGATAGTTTCAAAAATGTGTTTTCTTTTGCTTTGATGCGTGTTTAAATGATTATATGAACTTTGTTGGGCTTAGCAATTATAGAATAGTCTTTGATAAGACTATTTTAATAAATGTAGGTGTTTGACGAGTCGACCTCGCCGCCTACCCTTCTTTGTGTTTATTCCGGTCGCTACCAGATGGGTTCACTAATGTTGAATCTACATTTATCGCACTTGTTATTTCGTATAAATGTTTTTTGCGATAGTTTTTGTATGCGTGAGAACCCTAGTCTAAGTATCCTGATGGTAGTGTCTTTGACAAATGCATAATTAGTGGAAGTCACCTGCCCGTTGCATCCGGGAGGTGGGCGCCCGAATCCGTGTAGAGCGGAGGGGCAATTCAACTTCACTGTCTCTTGGTAAGATCCTACGCCCATTGCATCCGGGGTGGGAGTGCTTCCAATTACATCCTCGCCGATGTCTGGTCGGGAGGTTTGTTGTATGTATATAGGAGGTTTGCGATAGGGCCTAATAAGGAGTTAGATCTGGATTCTATGCATACATTATTTATGGTTATGGATCTTTATGCGAAATATACTGTGCGGTAAAGGTGAGTATGATGGTTGTACTCACCTCCATTTACTTTTCTGTCCTCTTGTTGCTCTTCCTTTCTTTTAGGTTAAGCATGATTGGTGGCGGCAGCGAGAGACGATCGAGTGGTGGTCGTTGGATTATGTGTTGCTTGCTTCCGTTTTTCTTTCTATTATTTTGATAGACCATTTGTTTAACTTTGAATATTTATACTTTCGCTTTATTTATTTCAAACATGTTGAATATTTGTTTATGCATGACTGGTTTGAAGTTTATGGATAACTTGGGATTTTGTTTTGAGCTGTTGGATTGTATCTGTGTAAATGTTTATTTTCTTTAGTTGTTTAAGTGGCGCCCGTTAAATATTAAAGTTTAAATTGAGATTTCGCGAAAAATAAATTCTGATTTTTATAAATAAATTCGGTAAATCTTTTAAAATAAAACGGGGCGTTACAGTATGGTATCAGAGCTAGTCTGCGTTTCTGTAGACTATCTCTCGTTTAGTTTAGTTAACGACCATTTGAC